GCTTTATGATAAGTTCGACGCAGCCATCTTTCCACTGTCGCTACTTCAATACCTCCAGCGACCCTGCCACAGTCGTTGCCTCAGCTGTTCTGTCATGGGGGGCATAGTGCAGCTTCGTGCACTTGCTGAGGTTTAGCTGCAATCCAATTGCTTCTGACACCTCGGACACGATCTGCACTTGTCGATCGAGGTCTTCTGAGTTCCTAGCATACAGCTTTAGGTCATCCATGTAAAAGTGGTGTCCCATTTCGAAGCCATAGCCAGCCTGCCAGTCTGAGGCTGAGCGCACAGGTCTGACTCTCTTGTCTAAGGCGTAGCTGATAGGTGCTACGCTTAGGACAAAGAGGGTAGGGGATAGAGCATCCCCTTGGAAGATGCCGTTGCGCACCTCCATTCGCGCAGACCTCACCTTCGAGTTGCCTGCCGGTAACTCGAAGGTTGTCGCCCAGTCGCTCATTAGTCGCCTGAGCGGAAGGGCAATAAGCGATGGAAGATTACTGCTTCCGGTACCCATCTGAGGTAGTCGTGGGAGACACTATCGAATGCTTTCCGAAAGTCAAGCCAGCCCACAGTGATGGAGTGTTGCTTTTGCGCGGTGGCATCCATTACCGTTGCCTTGTCGACGATCAACGCATGGGTGCACCCCCACTCCTGCTTTCGCAATGCCCTCTGGTTGATGGGTATGGCATTGCCTCTGCTCAAGTGCTTCAGGGTGATGGCATTCACTACCGCCGTGAGCAGTTTATAGCATGCGTTGAGGCATGTTATTGGGCGGTAGTTAGAAGGGTTATCCTTTGCACCCTCTTTGGGGATCAGGACAGTGCGTCCACGGCATAGCCATCCAGTGGTCACCTTGCCAGTAACTGCCCATTCGGCAATGATCTCTCCCAAGATCTTGCGGGCAGCCGGAAGGCACGGAGCTTGCTTCCGTCAACTTGGTCCCTGCTCTCCTCGAGGTGGTCATTCGGTTGACCGCCATTGAGGTTGTCCAATTGCGGAGCGGCCTGCGGGTCGTTGGGCACTACATCCTCACCGCTTTCCTGCGGATCGCAGGGCATTACACCCTCACCGCAACATCTGTTTTCGCGGTCTTTGGGCATTCCGCCCTCGCCGCTTCCCTGGCATCTCTCTCTCTCTCCTGTGGGTCGTCAGGCATTACACCCTCTCCGCTTTCCTGCGGGTCATTGAGTATCAAACCC